GGGGGAGTGTCGACGGGGGGGCGCTGAGGGCAGCGCTCCTGCCTGAGGGGAGGGCGGCGGGAAGCGCGTGGGGTGGCGGAGGGGGCCCGCGCTGCCGGGACTTGGGGAAGAAGTGCTGAGGCCGGAGGTTCAAGAGAGTTGATCGGGACCAGTAGGGAAATCTCGGTGAGGGGAAAAAAAAAAAGAGGATGAGCTGAAAGACATGGGCAGGAGCGTGTGAGGTGGGGGCGGGGGAGGGGTCCCTTTTTTTTTTTTCCTGTAAAAAGTATTTCAGTTGGACTTCTGCTAAGTATTTGGCTCCCCTGTCCCACTTCCTCAGTGGTATTTGACGCTTTTGAAGCAGATAGGGGTTAGCTTTTTTTTTTTTTAATTGTGCGTTTGACTTTTATGGCTATGTCACTACTGGGGGGGGGGGCGCGGGCGGCTGTTTGTTACAGTCCTAAATGATGTCGTTTTATGTGACAGCTTTTCTCTGACCTCGGTGAAGTGCCAGAATTCTAGGGAGGTGAATGTGCCAACATGTAACCACAGAGTTATCTGGCTTTTCAGTCTATGAATCTTCTTGTAGCTTGGTAGTTACTTGAAGACCCTAAGACCCTCTAGAGAAGTAGTTCAACATGTGTAATATATATGACCTTTCAAGACAGAGCAGAAATGCTCTGTCCTAGCTTGTTATTTTGGGGAAGATCCTTACATATTTTTAATAAGGACCCTGTGCTTCTCAGAAGTTTCCAGGCAACTTGAATACTGCAGTAAATCCAGATTTTACTGTTTAGAAGTGCGTGTAAAACATAATCAGGATGTATATTCTCTGTATTTATTAACAATGGAGGTGCTATTAACCCATGGCCTTAATTCCTTTTCTCTCCTTTTTTTCTCTGTGATAAAGTAAAAGTAACTATATGATGCTGTTCATCGGAAAAGTTTGAGACAACTGCTCCCCCGGGTTAATGTAGTTGACATTCTCTAATGGGCCTATGGGGAAGGCAAGTGGTGGTGCTGGGTCTTTTCGATTGCCTTGAGCCTTCTGTTCCCCTGTCACTCGGGTCTAGGGGCTCGGTGGAGGTGCCCCAGTGGAACGTAGCTATCACTGCAGCTTTAAAAAAAAAAAAAAAAAAAGGCACTCTTCCTGATAGCTACGCAGAAACCAAAGGGACTGTAGTTTCCTTCTTTCAAGAAGAAGCAAAAGAGCTGGTGGAAAACATACTTGTCTTGTTGGGTGTTGCTAGATTTCAGTGTGCAGGAGAAAAAGGAGTAAGGGGAAAGGAAGTGGAACACATTTATTCTATATATTTACTTAGCTATGTCTAGATTTCTTTTATAAAAGTTGAGACAGCACATATCCCTGTGGAATAGTTATTTAATGGTAGTTTCAGGAATAAACACATTCATATAAACTAGACAAAGAGCTGTCTAATATAGCATAATAAGCAATTTTCATTTTGATCTGGATCTTAAAGCTTTGTAGATTCAGGAAGTACTGATACTTTTAATTTAAAAATTCTCAACCTTGTTTGTGCGTTTTTAAGCTTCTGAAAGCCAGCTTAATAGGAATCAGTTGCTTCTCCCATCCTCATTCTCTTCTCCTTATTAAGTATTTAGAAAACTATGCTTTCTGTAAAATGCTTTCTAGCAATGGCTCATCTATTTCTGGAGCATTAGGGTGGAGGAGGGAGCTGCTCTGTCATGTACTCCTGGGAGACTCCTACTCCTGAAGGTGTCAATAGTGTCATCACTATGCAAGACGTATCAAGATACTGTTTCAGAACTTGGCTCTACACAATGCACGGAGAGACGATAATTTGAGGAGAAAAACTGCAGTCAGTTTCTGTTGATACAGAAATACACAAATAATCTATAGGATACTGTGGATATTTTTCTTAGTTTTTTGTATTGGGTCTGGCTGTGTGGGTACCTAGCTGCTGGCTAGGGTCAACACACCACAGTTTTAAAGCGTGCAGCATGATTATTTACTTTTGCTTCATTTTGGTAAGGAGGGTGAGGGGACATGCAAGAACTAGAATTGGAGCTAGAGGATCTTCGTTGTTCTTAAATACTGAGGTTTTATACCATGAATATCCTTTTAATATGAGTTTTGTTTAGATTCTAGTATTCCCCTCCTCTCTGTGTTCTTTCTTTGATGTTGCTAGCTCTGACTAATTGAATGATTTAGAATTACATATCGAAAGTAGCTGTCAGTTGGCAAATGAAAAAGAGGTCAGTCTCCACAGTACTTTAAAAGAATGTACTACTGTGGTAGAAATAGTGGCTTCTTTGAGAAGGGAGTGTCTCATTTTCATATTGTGGAAGTTGTTGCTTGAACCTCTTGATAACAAACTCAAAGTACAAAGAATTATGTATTCAACTAAATGCAGGTGAACCTACAGTTATACTTTGCATTTGCAATTACTTGGGTCTTGGAATTGTTCTAAAAACATTAAACAAGTTAGAGACAGGCATTGATTACGGTCAAGTGAGTAAGTGAACATACTATAAAACTTGAATTTAAGATGAAATGAGTATATTCAAGAATGAAACAGATGATTCTTGTTACCTTGAAGCAAGTATTGCGGCATATTGAAATGCACAGTTAGGGCATATGCAGTGCTATTTCTACATGGCTCCCAGCTGATTGTTAGCCCTATCATACCATGGTTTGACTTCTTTTAAACTTTGACTTTGAAATTACAGTACTGGCTTTGATATGTAGGGTCAACCTTAATTTTAGCTCTATAGCCCATTTTCTTAGGGCCCTGAAACTCCTCTGTTGTGTGACCAAGAAAGCAATTGCTGAAAAAACATCACTTCATAGGCATGTAGATTGGGTCTGTGATAGGGAAGGAACGGTGGTGCATAACACCTGAGTGCCTCTGTGAGATGCTGTGTGACTTGTTGTATTACAAACACTGGGCACCACTCTGTATATGTATATTTTAATGATGCAAAGAATCAGAATGTGTCCCTGTTGCTGGGGAAAATGTAAGCATGCATGTGCTTCAATGGTTGTTCCTTCAGTTGGTTATTTTGCAGATTAGACACAGCAGTGACTTTTAGGACACATTTAAGTTAATAATGATTTTATCCTAATATATTTAGCAACTTTTATTTTTTTTCCTCCTGTCACACAAACCATTTTTTCCTTGATAGAAATCTCACAATTCAGCCTCTGAAGAATAGTCACCATCTTTCTCTTCTCACTTTGGGAAGGAAATGAGTTTCTTGGGACAGTAGAATCACCTTCTCTTTTCAGGAATTAGAAGAAAAAGTATGCCAAAGATCAAATGGTAGGAAGTGGTGAAGGTCTCTGATTCTCAGTGAAGCTCTCCAGTGAAAATAATAAGAAAATGAAATTTTCTGCATTATCTGTTTCTGGAATCTTGTAAAGGAAGCACTTTTATTTTTTGAAGACTAAGCTCAGAGTTAGGTCTCCAAAAAGATTAGAAATTGTATAAGATGTTACGTATTATTTACAGTTAAAAAAGAATATCATTGCCTCTTCACATTTTCTGTTTCCTGGTAATGCTGTGGAACTGAACAATGGCAAATGTAAAGCCTATTAGAGAAAAATTTGTGTGATAGGGAAGGATATGGGCAGAGAGGGAAACACTGGTGATGTAGGAAGCTAAGAAGGAAATAGAACTGTTAATACTGAGATTTACCCCCAAGAGCTTCTATTGTAGCTCTTGTTTTGGGGACAAAACAAAATAAGGATCAAAGGATCCTGAACCTTCAGTGTATGTGACCAGGTAGGAGGTTGCCCGTTTTGCAGCATGCATGTGCACTCCCTGCTTTGCCCAGCGAGAGGCAGAGATTAGCAAAATGGGATCTTGGAGGGAACTTGAGAGATGTTCCATGAATGTATGGACTATAGTCTGTACATATATTGTTTGTTTTGCTTTAAGACATTGTTCTTCTCCTTTTGACAAATCCATATTGAAGAGGACACTGGATTCATTTTAATGCTATCACAAACTTTGGGCTAAAGAACTTGCTTTAGTTTGCAGTTTGTCTGACTGTAACACATGACATACGAAAAGGTACGTATAGCCCAGAAGTCAACATAGCAATGGGCTGCAGGGCTCCAGAGGTAGAAGAATTTGGAACTTCTGCTTGAGTCAAATAGTCTTAACTTATAATTCAGCATGAAACTATAAAAGGCTTCAGACAATAAAGACATGGACTACTTGAAGGGTTTAATGTTGCAAATTCTTAGTTACCCCTTGTCCTGGTTTCAGCTGGCATAGAGTTAATTTTTTTCTTAGTAGTTGGTACACCCCTTCTTGAATGAGAACTTAAACTAGAATGGATTTATTTGTAAATGGTAAGGGTCATGTTACATTGTAAGGCATTGTGAAAATTCCTATGGCTAAAAAACGTGATGAATCACGCATTAAATAGAGTATTCAACCTTTGCTATGGAGCTACACCTGGCACCTCTACAGTATTCTGTTTTTTATTTTTGAAAGGAAACGTTCTTATGAAAGTTTAAAGATACTTTTAAATTTGTATTTTCTGTAAGATTTTTTTTTTATTTGACTCTGTACTAATTCTCTATTGTTTAGAGATGGGGAGATATTAATAGTTGAATATTTCAAAGCTTGGATTGCCTTTACTTCCACTTTTCTCTTTTGAGCACTGAGAAATATGTGTTCTCATATTGCTGTGGGAAGTATAAAGTGTGTTTTAAGAGTAAGTTTATGAATCATCCTTAAAACAGCTTAAATCTCTGGATTTTACTCTTTCAGAATCAATACTTTTAAAAAATGTTTTGTAGTCTAGGAATTTATTGTTATTTATCTTCTGGTAACTTTGATTATGATAAGCTTTGATTATGAAGGAGTAGAATGACTATTAATCGTTTGTTTTTTCCAGGCTTTGGAATTTAACAAACCTGGCTAAAATGATCTGTAAAAGGGTCTGGTACCATTGCTCATTT